AGTTTTTGAGAGCAACAAAATAGAAGGATCCCCAACATCATGTTGGTCATGCTGCTTACACACAGATTGGTGTGTGAGAGAGAAATAATCTTCTGTCTTTCCAAAGCCACTGTGATTTTGGTGTTTGTAGGAGCAGCCTAACTGGCATTCTAACTGGCACAAGTACCATTATTAATTCTCTGGAAAACACACTTAGTAATTCCAGGAGACCAGATTTGAAGCCTCTGCAGGCAGTCATGTTCTCATTCACTGCTGACATTCCTCCTGCTTGCCCCAGGGCAGCAGAACAAGACACAAGAGCAAGACATGGACAAGAAGAAGCCAGGAACGTGGCTCTACCTGTGATTTTCACTGTGAATGAGCCTGACCTGGGAGCTTGTCAAAACTTAAATTCCTTGGCTGCGCCCTCTGGGATGCCATAATACGTCTGCCATGAGCCAGGGAATCAGCACTTAAAAGTATCCCGAGACAGCCTGACACAGGCAGTCCTTGGGCCACATCTTGAGAACCGCTGGTCTGTGAGTGGAGCCCCCTGTACACCCTTCCCCGGGAGACCCTTCTGTGCATTAAGCCGGGGAGCTTCCTAGCTGCTCCAGAGGCACTGCTGAGGGCGGTGCAGCGCCTCGGAAATGGATGCTGGGAAACATGCGAGGGGACACTCAGTGAGATGCAGACATTTAGAAAGTGGCAAAGCTTTACTCTGGATGGCCTGGAAATTCCACACTCGTGCACTAATTAGGGAAAAAGACATAATCAAACTATTTGGAGACGTTTGAAAAATAAATATTTTAAGGGCAAGAGGGAAAAATTTAAACACTCCACTCTTCATGCTCATTTCTTCAGTTCACAATGTGGACTGAGGAGTCAGGGTAATGACAAGTGGTAATAATATTTGATAATTACAAATTTGCCTGTGTTTACACTGGACGTGAAATCAGAGAACTCAGAGATATCCTTCCATAGAGAGACCTTGGAGGAGGAGTTCATACCACAAGCAGGCAACAAGCAGAGCTCATCGTGACACCAAGCACAGGAGGACAACAATTAGGGACAAATTTCAGCCCAAGGGAGTGAGATGGGATGGCAGAGAGGGTACAGTGCCAACAACCCAGGTGAAGGGTAAATAAATTGTGGCATCTGTGACTGTGCCAGGGCCACGTGCCAGGTATGGTGTCTGTGTGTGGGAGACAGACACTACAGATGCAGGATCCCACGATGCGCCTGAGAAAGATGAGGCATCTGAAAGGGGAGGGCACTCTGAGCAGTGTAGGATCAGGACAAATGAGAGCTGAAGGCGATCCACCGAGGGAGGGGATGGTCGGGAGAAGGTAGAGAGGGACAGTCAGGAGAAGGTGGAGAGAAGGGATGTCAGGAGAAGCTTCTAGCAGGCAGTTTTCATGTGTCCATCAACAAATATGACCAACTCTTGTTCTTGGATATAATGGCGTAACGAAGAAGGATTCCTTCTCAAGAGGGTCCCATTCTGGTGGAGGGAGGTAGATCATACATGATCTTAGAATATTACTATTGGATAGATACCAGAGTTATCTATCCATATTTATTATCTGTTAATAATATAGTTGATAAATAAGTTAGATATCTCTGGTCCCAGTAAGAGATGTGGAGATGCTATGACAGGACCAAGTGGTAACAGTGCAGGGAGCTGGCCGGGCAGGCTGGCGGTGGCGGTGCCCAGGGAGGCCTCTCTGCAGAGGGGACGGGAGCCCTCAGGCGGGATGGACCAGAGAGGGCCTGGTGGCCGCGTGGAGAGCCAGGGGAGAGGGTGAGAGGGGCTGGGTGAGCAGGACTTTGGTGTCAGGGAGCACGCTTCGGTTCATTCTGGGATGAAGTTCATGCCGAGAGTCTCGGGGCAGGAGGGACGCCATGCGAGTTAGGGGTTTTTAAAAACTGCTCTGGCCGCTGTGCAGGGTCAGACACCAGGGCCCAGGCCCAGAGCTGAGACCAGCAAGGGGCTGGTGTGGCCTGGGCTGCTCTGTCCAGCATCCTGAGAGGATGTGCCTGGGAGCCAAGGGGCAGACACACCAGGTGGGCCCAGAGCCTGAGCATGCAGGGGAGGGGCAGGTGGGCGGCATGCGCAGCGGTGAGGTCACCCGGTGGGCAGCATGGCGGCTGGTGGTAGGGTGACACGTCTATGCTGTCGGGCAAGGAGCTCTCCAGCCGGGTGTGAGTTTCCTGTGACTGGCGGTGCCTGGAGGTCGTGTGGGAGGGTGGTCAGCCCCGAGGGAGGCAGCCGCCTGTCCAGGGGCCAGTGCAGAGAAATGAAGGCCGGCCCACCCAGGGACACGGGAGGTGGGGCAGGAATGGGGGTTGATGGCCCTTCAGCACCTTGGGGGGGTGGGGTGGTACAACCTCCTCGTCCCCAACAGCCCTCCCAGGCGCTGCGCAGCCTCCACTTCACCGAGGGGCAGACGCACGTCCCGAGCCTTGAGGGGCAGCCTGGCCGGCAGGTGGCCATGCCATAGTGGAGCCTGGATCTTTCTGGCTCCACAGTCTGGGCTCCTACCCCATTGGCCACAGTCTCCACGCTGGTCCGGCTGTTTTCCTGCCCACTGCTCTTCCCCCAGCACTTTCTTCTCTTTCTGACACGCTCTCCTCCTTCTTGCTCACCGCGGTCACAGCCAGCCATCACTAAAAACGTATTTTACTAGGGTCTTCAATCCTAAATCCATCCATGGGAAAAATGAAGAGGTGTCTGTCCTGAGAGCCCATCTATCCTCGGCCAGGGGTCAGACATGGTGATCCATGTCCAGTGAGCCATGTCGACCGAGTTTTACTCATGAGCTCGTTAACCCTCACAAGCCCAGGCAGGGGCTGCGTTTTGGAGGGAGGCTGAGTGGCTTATTAACATCACCTGCTAACCGGAGAGAGTGTTGTGTGTCCCACCTCGACAGCCCTGGGGTTTCAGGCCTTCGCTCAGCAGTTCCTCTGCTCTGAGCCCTTTCTCAGATGGCTCCCTCTCCTGTGTGGTGGGCTCTAAAACCCAACCCAGGAAAAGTTGCTCCCTTCTGAGCTTCTGAGTCACGCCGCACTGACCCATGCCTCTGTTCCTCCTATCCCTCCACCCGAAACGGGAAGCTTCTGTGGCTCCCAATGCCTTCCTGCGTGTTCTGGCCTTCAGCTTCTCTGACATGTTCAAGGACAAACTGTGGGGCTCCACACCTTTTTCCTGTGAGAACAGGCCTACAGAATTAAAAACAAATAAACACGCGGACAGACAAACGACTCCAGTTTGTCTGAACTGCTGCGTTACAAACGACCTCAAACTGGTTTGTATAAAAGAACAGCCTCACTTTCATGCTGGTGGGGTCTGTGGGTCAAGAATGTGATAGGGCACAGAGGGAGACCCATCTCTACTCTGTGATTACCTGGGGCTCAGTGGCGAAGACCTGAATGGTGGCGGTACCTTGAGCATCTGGGGGCTGACGTCCTCTGGCACCTGGCTGGGCTCAGCTGGGACTCTTGGCCAGAGTGGCTAACCCATGATCACCCTTGGCAGCTTGCGCTCCCTCACAATATGGCCTCCGTTAGTCAGGCTTCTTACGTGCAGACTCAAGACCCCCAAAGAAGACGTTCCAGGGAACAAGGTGTGAGCTCCTTGGCTCTTGTGACCTAGACTGGGGCAAAGGGTTGCTTCCTGTATCCTTTGGAACAGTCTCAAGTCTGCCCAGATTCAAGTGGAAGTGACACAGCCTCCACATTTCAGTAGAAGGGGTGTCAAAAACTTAGTGGACATATTTTAAATCTGACATGCAAGTAAACAAAAAACCTTAAAAAAAAAAAAAAAACTCTTTTAGCTTTTAGCTCCTCAGAAAAATTTCCAAAGCTGGGACTCCAAAGCAGTTGCCAACCTTTTCCACACAAAGACCTCGCCTACTTAAAACAAAACAGAAATTCCTCAAAGAAAATACTTGTTGTCTTTGTAACAGTAGCACTCACTCACAGCAAACAGTTGAGTAACTCAGCATAGTGCAACAATGTAAGATGTTCTTGAAACCTCACCACCTAGAGAAAACACTGTTAACTGGTGAAGACTAATTTTTTCAGATATTCTCTGTTCAGATACATATACATGTAAATATGTGAACCGTTTTACGTAAATGAGACCGTACTGTTGAGCTCTTCTAAAATGGATTCTCTTTTTGCCACTCAAGAAAATGTTAATTTTTTATGTTGCAACAGAAACTGTTGGTTTCCTACCCAGCGCTCTTGGCTCTTCCTTCTTTCCCTCCTTCCTGACAGAGTCCCTGTTTTCATTGGGGCGTCCCCTCTTCTTTGAGCGGCAAGTTGTTTCCAGGAAGGCAGACGCCATCTCCAGTCCCTAGGGCGAAGGGTGACTGGGCCGAGCTCAAGTCCCCTCCCAGGCCAGCGACTGCGGCGTCGATGGAACGGGATGTATTCTGGCTGGAGTGAGGGCCAGATGACGCTGGGTCTTGGGGGTGGGCTTCCTGGAAGACACAGGACATGCTCCCGACTCCCCTCAACGTCTACCACGTGGTCCCGTTCTGACGGCAGAACCACAGCAGCCTCAGGGGGTCTTTCTGTTTTTGTTTTTTTTTTTTCAGAAAATAAATTACTTATTGTTTAACTTAAATGGGCTGAGGTTCACCCTTTTTGTCACTTACAGTCAAAAGTACTCCGAGTGATGCATGTCCAGAAATAAAATCATACAAAACCACTCTGACTGGCTGCTTCTTCTCTTGGGCAAGCAGATCACAACCAACTCTGGAAAATTCTCGATGGTTCAAAGTTTAGGCTATTTTCTAATTTTTTTTCCGCAATAAACAACACTGATGAATCTCAGTACTTTCCTTAATTCAAATTTCAGGTACTGCTTGGAGTGTCTATAAACCCTCCACCCTTTGACGCAGGTCTCTGACACACAAGATTGGTCCCACTGAGGTACATGCTCTTTAGTCTGACTCTTCTGTCAAACGCAAAAGCTTGCAGCCTCCAATTATGCCCATTTTTTCTTCCTCCAGTGGAAAGAGCATCAACTTTGGAACCAGACAGAGGTGGTTGGAAGCCATCCGCCCCTTCCCAGCCGGCCTGCCTCGTGGGCGTCAGTTCCCACGCTCCATAGAACGAGCACAGACGTGCCTGCGCTCAGGGGTCGTCAGCATCGGATGGGAAGCGTCTGTTGAGCACCTGGTCTGGTCCCGACACGTCGTAAGTGCTGAAATGGTCGTGATTCTTATGTTTTACTATTTGCCATCTGGAGGAATGTGTCTGGAAAACAAGGAGCAGGGGCCTCACTCTCAAAACGTGAGACACTGTCTGCTTTCTTTCCCAAAGGGCCAAGATTTGTTGCTATTTTTTAAAACTGTTTGTTTTTAGATAATTCTCGATTTACTGAAGTGTGGCAGAGAGTGCACAGAGTTCCATATACCCTTCACCCAGCTTCCCCTCGTGGTAACATCTGACATGACCTTGGCACGTTTACCAAAACGACCAGATTCTCACTGGTAATACCATTAACTAAACTGCAGACTTGGCTTGGATGTAACCGGTGTTTCCACTAATGTGCGCTTTGGTTCCAGCATAGAATCCGGGCACCATGTTGCATTACGTCCTGCTGCTTTTTAACGGACTTGAAGCCTTTTCCTTGGAGGATGAGTTGAACACGCTTCTGCTAGAAAAACTCCCAGAGCTGGCGTTTACCGGGTGCTTACGATTTGCCTCCCTCACAACACTGTCCTCATTTTACAGACAGGGAAGTGAGACCCAGAGAAGTCGAGGTTTGATCAAGGTCACTCGGAGGCCCAGGCAGCCTGGCTCCTGCTCGGCCACCTGTCCCCGAGGGTGCACCTCCCTGGCCACAGCAGAGCGAGTCCTCCCTCCAGGTGTGGCCCTTGGGCAGGGCCCCTTGCCCATGGGGAGACCCAACCCTGGCCGAAGCCGGGCCCTTTCTGCCCTGCCTCCTCTTGGCTCACCTCCTGGCACCCGGGCCTGCCCTTGAGCTCGGCCTCCACTCCCTGCAGTCCTGCTCCCCATGGCCACACCTTGGTCCTCCGGCCTGGCTGGGCCACAATGCAAAGGCGCCTCCTGGTGTTTGTGTTGGAACAGGGACCCAGCCCGAGGTCAGACACAAGGTGCGAGCCAGGGCTTCGGGCAGTGTGCCCCTGCAGCCCCTTCGAGGCCCTTATGAAGGCATGAGGGGGTCTCTCCCCGCTGCTCTGAGGGCTCTCTCTCCACGTGAATCGTCACAGATGGCGCCCTCTCCCTCTCATTCTGCCAGGACCCCCCTGCTCCCAGGGGCAGGACAGTGATGCCCTTCCAGCCGGGGCCCTGGGCACAGCCTGGGACCTCCCTGATCACTGCCACTGCCCGGAGGAGAGCAGGCGGCCAGGGCTCAGCTCGCTCTCACAGCCTCTACTCCAGCACCACCGCCACCCTGTCGGTGGGCTTCCCGTGACAGCCCCGTCACAGGCACCTCCTTGTGCTGGACGTCCCCTCACAGCCGTGTGGCCGGGACTCCATGTATCACTTTATTCCACGAGGAAGTGGGGGCTGGAGCTACCTCACTGGGAAATGGCAGAGAGTGGACCCGAACCTCCGCTGGGGTGGCCCCACAGTCCTCAGGCTTCACCAAATGCTTTCACGATGACGCTTCTGGAAACAGGGCCATCGCCGACACCAACCTTGGGCTGTGCGGGCCACAGCAGCAGCTCCCGGTGCTGGAGGACAGGGCTGGGGACGAAGTCCTCCCTAAGGCAGCCCCCTGGAGGTGGAGGAGGGCTGCGCCTGCAGGCAGTGAGGGGGCGTGGAGGAAGGGGGGGTGGTGGCCGAGGGCTGCACCCTCTGGGCACGGGCACTTCCTCGTTCAGGTGGCACAGCTTGAAGAGCAGGATGGGGAACTGCTCTGTTCATCTGGAGGACTCCGCCTGGGTGTTACCTGGGCCGGGAGCGCGTTAATCCCTCTGTTTACATTCAGACAGCTCAGTGAAACTCCCATTGTCTCAGTGCTGGAGCCACATTTCTGCCGCTCTGCGTCCTGGCACAGAAACCCGCTGGGAGGGAACTGTCGCAACCTTCAGAGCTCGAGTGGGCTGACTCACCCCAGAGTCACCTGGGCTGCCTGCACCCCTCGCGGTCTCCGCGGCTTGGAGTATCCGGGTGGCCCCGGAGGTCGCTGCTGAAGGGTGTGAGTGAGAACAGCGAACCCGTGCTGGGCTGGCACTGAGCACCAAGCACTCCACGTGGATTAGCTTGGTTAACCCTCGTGACCACAGGGAGGTAGGCAGAAGGATTGTCCCCACTTTATAGGCAAAGAAACTGAGGCACAGAGAGCTTAAGTGTGCCGTTGAGGTTCCCACAGGTGCGAAGTGGCAGAGCTGGGCCGGAGCCCCGGCCTGCTGACAGGAGTTGGCATAAGGTCTGGAGGGACTTAGAACAAATGGTTCATGCTGGCTGTCTGCGGGGGTTTTCTTTAACTTTTTGTGTCTTTTAAAATTTTCTACAATATATGTTTTGTGGGGACAGGCAAAACAATAAAAAGATTTACAGTAGAAAAAAGAGGAGGTACTGGTGAGTGCACATCGCTCAGGGCTCCGTCCAGGGGTGTGCACAGAAAACCAGCTTGGAACTGTGGCCCAGGCAGACGGACGGCAGACAAATCATTGATACAGAGCGAGGGGTTTGCTTATTCACTTGTTCGCGTATCGATTCAATTCTTCATTTATTCCTTCAAAAAAGTGTGGCGCTCTGCTCTGTCCAGGCACCGTGGTGGGTGCTGGGGACACAATCAGGCCTCAGAAAGGTCCCTGTCCTCCGGGGTCCTAGTTCAGCTAAGAGCCCTGTGGTCTGTTAAGGTGTAGAAGAGGTCCCTGGTCTGTCTCCCCCACCAGATTCCGCATCCTCCTGGGCAGATGCAGGTCCCAAAACCCGCCACGTATTTCAACTGTTGATTCACTCACTGCTTCTGCGTCACCACAGGGTGGTTCAACATATAGGGCACACAGCGCAGGAACAGCACAAACGGTCATTTCTCCAGGTTGAGAGAGGCAGAGAAGAGGGTGGTTGGAAAAGCTCCATAGAGACTTGAGTAGCCGCTTAAGAATTGAGAAAGTTCTCGCTGGGTGGGGAAGGTACTTCCAGGCAGAGGGAACAGCATGTGAAAAACAACAGCAGTGTGAAGCCCAGTGCATCTGAGGAACAGCCAGCAGTTCAGGAGAGCTGCAGCACAGGGTGTGTGGGAGGGAGTGCAGAGTCCCGGGGCAACGGGACGGGAGGCACGTGCAGGCCCGGGCCCTGGTGGCCTCTGTCATGTGAAGGAGCAGGGACTAAAAGGTCGTTCAGTCACAGGAGAGAGAATCAAGGATGGGGTGGGGCACGTGTGCAGATGGGGGCCAAGGCATAAGGAAGCTTCCTCCTCGTCCTTCTCCTTCTTCTGTCTTATGAGCTGTCCCCTCCTTCCACGAAGGGGTGAAAGGGCAGAGTGGACATCGTGCAGCACCTGCTACATGCTGGGTGTGTGGTCAGCCCTCTGCACCTCTACCCCTTACTCTGGTGCATATCACCAGCCCCGTTTTCCAGAGGAAGAGACTGAGGCTCATAGAGGTTAAGTGGCAGACCTGAGGTTTGAACAGAAGTGCAGTCTTCACACCGGGCCAGATGGAACAACTTGAAGCGGACCGTGCTTTTGTCTCTGCAAAGAGTCTCCTGCACCCGGGCTCGTGGTGCTGAGTGGTAAATCGGGCAAGAAGCATCATTCTCCTTTTCAGCAGGAAAACTGCACCACAGACAGGCTTGCTGGCTATGTGACAGGGATTTAAGAGTTTCAGGATTAGAGACGTCCAGAGCACAAAGCAGACACCCATCTGAAAACCACCCAGGGAAATAAAAATAACCCCTAGAGGGTTTCTCAGTGCAAAGGGGCCCTTGTGAGCACACCACCCGCACACACGAGCACATTCCGTATGGAGGTTTGCGGCTGGAAGAGCTGGAGGGCCATCCGAGGGGCTGAGCTGAGCCCTCCCTCCGTCTCCTGCCCTCTTCTTCCAGCACCTTCCGGCTCCTCTTGGGGGAGCAGCCGTGGGCTCTCCACGGAACTCCTTGCTTAGCTCCGAGACCCAGCACGAGGCTGGGTGCAGAATGTTGGTGCAGCGTTGGCAAGATGCTCACAGAGGTTCAGTGACTCGTTTTAATTAGGCCAGCTATGTTTACGTTTGATGTTTATCAGCTAATTGGCATGGCAAGGTGTGAGTCACACAGCTTTCCCCTGGCTTGGAGTCAGTTTGTCAGAGAAAAAACCAGGAGAACAAATGATCCCAATTATGAGAGAACCCAGCGGGCTAATTACCGTCCCACGAAGCAGGGACCTCCTCCCTCCCGCGGCTGCAGAAATCTGGAACCTGGGATCCAGGCCCCCAGCTGCCGCCCTGGAGATTTATTCTCTTGGATTCAAGACCCACAAGTCCCTTCAGCTCAGACACATCAGGGCAACACTCTCCCCTTGGTCCAAGGTCGTACTTCCCTGCAGCCCCGTCCACGAATCAGCTCACGTGTGCTGTGCTTTTCCATGTACAGGCATTGCTGGGAACACTTTGTAATTCTTTCTCCCAGTAACACATTGGTCAGGTCCCAGGTCTACCTCCACTTCACAGATGGAGAAACCGAGGTACCCAGAGGTTAAATAGCTTGTTCAAGGGCAAGCAGCAGAGCGGGATCTGAGCCCAAACCATGTGTCCCCGTAGCACCTGCCCTTGACCATTGGTGATTCTCCAGGGGTCAGAGATCCCCCAGCCAACCAATCAGGACTCTTCCAGCAGATTCTGGGGGTGATCCTGCCTCTAACTAGTGGATACAACTGCCTCCTGGAACAGTGCTTTCCGGAACTTTCTGTGATGATGCGAGTGCTCCACTGTGCTGTCCAGCAGTAGCCACTAGCCACGTGTGGCTACCGAGCACGTGAACCGTGGCTCGTGGGATGAGGAACTGAATTCTAAATTTCATTTAATTTTAATTGAAATGCCACATGTGGCCAGTGGCCTCTGTGTTGGACAAGCACGGCTGTAGGCGGTCAGGCCTTATTCCTCACCCGCTGCAGCCCTCAGACACCCGTGTCTTTGGCCTCCCGTGGGCTCTCTCTGCAGGCGGGGGCAGCTCTCCTCATTTTCTGCGTCTCCCTCCTGCTGTCTGAGCCCCTCTGGCGACAGGACAGCCTCGTG